TGAATGGGTATCTCCTTAGCCTGCTGATTTCTTTTTCTTTCTAAAAAAAAGTGGGTGGAGAAATTAATTTAGACGTTTGTTTGCAATAAAAAGAATTCATTTTACTCTCGTTTTGGGATTCTCGCCATCAAGGTTCAAATCCCTTTATACTACATCTCCCAAGAGGAGAAATTTTAAGTGTGTGCTTTCTGGACAGCTTATTTTACTCTGTACTTAGAACATTTAGGTTTTAAAAACTTAAATGTATATTCACAATTGATTTATATAGATTTATAATATAAAGCTGAATTCTTCCCTTCCCCTCCCCCCCAGACGGCTTTTAACATGAGGGGCAAAGGTACTGGCTGGGAGAAGTTAATGCTCAGTTGATCATGCTTACAAAATGTGAATGGCTGTCCTCACCTGATTATATACATATATATTACATGAAACTTTGGGAATAGATGCTTTTAGAAGCCATCATGCAAGCCAGTCGTTGATTTCACTACTACACAATGCTGCTAACTTAACTAGCTATGTGATAACATTGGATCCCCTAATTGTAATTTTATTGGGTTTGCACAGAACACTTAAATCTAAAGGAGCCTCACTGTGAAGTGAGGAATCAGGAGTCAAAGTGTAGAACTAAAATTAGCATTTAGTCTAGTGTGCCAATGTTTTTAGCCTGCTTCTGGTAAGTTCAGGTTTCCTATATTGATTGCTGTAGGATTTTGTTGAGAAATTTTAGATCAAATTTTTTTTAATGTGAGTTTATTATAGTATACTCCTGGAAATTGTTACAAGCTAGTTTTAGATAAAACAGGTTGACATAGAAATAACACTAAAAGGTAGTGTCTTGGCATTTGGCTTAAAAGTAAGCTTACTATTAGCAATCACTGGTATGAGTGACTGCTGCATATACATTAAGACTATATTCCTAGCCTGGGGGACGGGTCAAACTTAATTTTGATTAATCAGTGTTGTTTGTGATATTTTAGTTTGTGCCTTTCAAAAATCTTGTATAGACCTAGCACTAGAGACTTAAAAACAGGAGAAAAGGGATCAGCTAAAAGCAGGACTTGATAAAAGTAAAATGCTTTTATGGTGGAAAACACTACACTAATAGTTACGTCTATGTTTGCACATTCTCTTTAGTAATTTACAGTGAATGCATACAAAGGGGAGAGAAATGACTTGTTATTTTTTAAAATACTGATGAAGTCAGACCCGAAGGAAAGAATTGACTTAAAACATGCCCAGTGATAAGCAAAATTGAAACATTGGTCTGAAATAACATGTTGACCAGAAGAAGAAAAAAGACAGGATGCTTTTGGTTCATGAATGCTTTTAGTCAGGTTGTGCAAAAGACCTGTAGTCTACACAGAGGCAGAGAAATCACCACAGACCTGGGCTGCATGTGTTTCATAGTGGGGCCCTTTAAAGGTCCTCCCGATGCCTGCTGAGGAACAGGGCCACAGTTTTAGATCACTGATAGAGTACTTGCTTAACAATGCTTAAGGGCAACATCTTTTGGTCAGCACTGGTACTTAGGAAAATATTGTAGGTTAATAACAAAGAATAGAAGTATATAGGCCAAATGGTAGTCTCTCAAGTTTCTGATAGGACCCAACAAAGTAGATACTGAAGATCTTGGTTGTGACTAAGAAGATAAATCAATTTCTGGATTTATTCTAGAAAACCCAGTATTTTTGCCTTTGTGGTTAGATTTTAGTTTGACTTTAAGATTCCCTGTTAATGAGAATCAATGGCTTTTCTATAAGCTTGTTGATTAAATCAAGTCTAGATGGACTGACTATACTGCACAAAAAAGACTTTGATATAGGTAGTATGCAGTTGTATGTACATCAGTATGAATGAATATATTTGATTTTTTTCTTAAAGTTTAAAGCTCGTAAATTCTTTTTTACAAAAATGTAATATATTTTTATTAAAGTGAACAATTTGTAGCAGATTATACTCAAGTATTCATTCAGTTGTTTTCCCAAGAAAGGTGACCAAAAAAAGCAATTTACCTAAAAACTGTTTGGGAGCAAAATTAGTAAGATGATTTGAGTATAATTTTTTTTCTATACTAAACATTGTGGTGCCTGTGTATTGGAAGTAATGTTTGGAAACTACTAAATTGTAAGTTTAATAGTAATTAAGCCAAAACCTTAACCTTATGTGTTTAGTGACACCTACCCATTGAGGGTGGGTATAGTTAGACCATGGCCACTTGAAAGGGCTTAGTATAAGTCACAAATCTTGGAATATCTAGCTTTGTGGCTTGTCTACAACTCAATTGCTTTCCCTGGGGAACCTTTTCCATATATGATTTGAGCAGAGACGTAGGTGCAACTTTTGCTTCAACTAGTAAATATAAAGCCTAGCCAGTTTTTTTGAGTTTTTAGTCTGGTATTATTTTTTCTTGTTGTGGGTGTACATACTTGTTAGAGACAGGTATTCAAGGAACTTAGTACCAGGGATCTTCAAGTGTCTCACTAAGTATATGCTAGTTTATTTGTAGACACACGGATCAGACTCATAACAAACATCAGATTGGAATCTAGAACTTGGGTGGGAATGAGTTTTCATCTTTACCTGTTGAGTTAAAAGGACATGTGGTTGAATATTAAGATGCCATAGAATCTTACATACTTTGTAAGGTGGGATTCAGAAGGTTAAGATTAACATCTTAATTGCAAGCTCAATGCCAGTAGGCTAACAGGTGTAGAAGGATAAGTGATAAGCCAATGTTCTGTTACCAGGAAATTAGTTTAGTCACCTATCTACCTAAGTACAGTTTTATATGCCAAAATTATATACTTGTAGCAAAACCGGGACAAAGCTGAACCAGCATATGGGGGAGCTTGCTATACTCAGCATCATTAATGGCAGTTTAGAGTACTTTGTATTCTGGAAAACTAGAAAGGCTCCAGGCATTTCTTGAACAACTGGATACCTTGTATAGTAGCGAAATGATGCCATGTTCAAATTCCATGGGATTTACTTGGGCTTGAGTAAGCTAGCAGCTGAATACTGAATTCTTGTTCTGAACACTTTCCTATAATCATCCCCTTGGGTGAGACAGAAAATGGTTCACCCACTAAAAAGATCCTACACTTAGACAACTAAAAGTTTGATAGTGACCAAAAATTGAAGTCATAGACCAAAACGTGTGAAATCAAGTATTAAAAGCATACTTACCTAGATAAAAATAGTTTAAGTACCTAAGCTAGATGGGGTGGGAGAATCATGGACAAATAAAAGAATCAAGGGTTCCAGCATTTTCTTGAAGCTTAGTAATAAAAGCAATGTGTTGATTTAAATTTCATTTCCTTTTTCTTAGTCTGTCCATGTGACTGTGCTGTGTGAAGAGTAAAAGGGGCCCAACTAAATGTGTTCCAGTGATTCTAATAGGTATTCAAATTAATTGCTGCTTGTATGTTTATCAGTTATGCTAGGTTTCCAGGATCACCTTACACAAAGTTATTGGCAATCAAGTGGACAGGCCACATCTCTTAAGCTTTTCCTAATTTTGCCTTTTATATCGGAAGTGAATGTCAGACAATGATAATTTTTGTGTAGGTTTACAGGAATACATTTAAAAGACTTGAACCAAGTCCTAACACATTACCTTCAGGGGCCTATTTGTTGCAAAACAATGACCTTTAGGGTACTTTCTGCCCTTGTTTACCATATTCTATGTTGGCACTAATGCCAGCTTCAGACATTTTGGGGAAATAGACTGGTCTTTTTGGAGTAATGAAGTGATGATGATACATTACAAGACGCTAAAGTTAGTGGGAAACTCGGTATAAACTTTGGTTGTGTCTCCCCTGGGGCATTTACTACAGTAATGTCTGGGTGAAATCAATGAGGGGATTTGGTTTCAGTTTTGATAGGGGTTTTATGCAGTAAAAATAGCCATACCCTCAAGGCAACTTCGTGACTTTGAATGAGTAGGCTACTACCATTGCTCATCTGAGGGGAAAGGCGCAGAAAAGCAAATAGGCTTTGATTTTATTGGCAGTGCATGTTTCCACATGGTGTAGAAGCCTTCGCTAGGGACACTGGTAGTGCACGCAGACTAGTTTTCCAGTGCTGCATCCCAAGCAAGTGTTACCTAGTAACATTGTTCACTTAAGTGAACAGTAGAAACACCTAACCAGATACTAGCCTTAAGGTCTGCCAATATCTTCCTCATTAGCAACTGGAAGACTATGATGAAACAGTTGAAACACACACTTGAAGCCACATGTGCTTAGCCAGTAGTTGGGGAGACTGAGACAGAATTATCTGTTTAGTGGTGCTTTTAACTGTATCACACTTGAATTTCCTAATTTTTTCTTGTTGCAACAGCTTCATTTTCTCAAAGTCGAAAATATCTAAAAATTAAGATGTATAAAAGTACCAGTATTCGGGTGGTAGTAGATACTGGCTATTTTATTGATCTGATACAATTACTAGACCATTAAGGTGCTTCAAAATTCTAGAGGACCGTCAGAATTAATAGAAACTGTTTAATTTCCTATTTACTAAGGTCTGCGTACCCAAAGAATAGTGCATATTTAACATGACTTTTAAAGGGGTGCTTTGACACCTGTCACAGATTTTTATCTAGGAATAGAAGGATTCAAACCCTATTTGATCCTTAGCTCTTTGCTGAAAAGTGCATAAACAGGAATCCTGAATTTATTATATAGACCTCCGCATTATATAATCGAAGCAAAGGGAAACCACCGATGGAGTTAGAGGTACGTAGACTCAAAAGATGCTTGCAAATCAAATACTGGTTTTAGCATAGTTGAGAGTTATTGTTTCCAAATTCAGTCAATAAGTCACAAGTCCAGAAAAAAGCTGCTAAATCTCCTGAGGTCCTTTTACTAAGATGGAAAAGCAAGGAATCAGAGGTTGGGGTTGAGGGAGGGGGCAAAGGGACACAGCCTAGGATTGGTAGATAAACTACCAAAAGACTTCAAAACTACTAACACTACATTCTATTTTAATCAGCTATTTAGCTGGTACCTACTGCTATATCACCTAGCATGAAATTCCGGGATTGTCGGAACAATGAAGGAAGCTGTGCACAGAGGGCATTGAAGGTAGGTTGACTTTAAAATTGGCAATGTAAAAGTTTCGGGTGGGATGTACACATGGACCTTACTTACCTAGTGAATAAATAGCAATGAGGCTCAATTGTGCCTGACCTTTTGGGAAACCTAAGTGTGGTGTTTTAAAATCCCCTACAGCAGATGCACACCCAGCTTCTAAGGAAAATAAAGTCTGCAAAGGTTTCTGGCAAGCATGGAGATTCTGGTTTGCAAGAGGCTCATCTGTCATTGTTTGGATGGGTGACAGGTTGAATTAAGCTGCAATAGTAACTCATACCTGTAATACCAATACTTGCAGTGAGATTGTAAAAGTACAAGGTTGAAAACAGTGCTCATGGAAGTATGTATAATTCATGTTCAGGCAAGTCAAGGAAACTAAATACTTTGTGGCTCTTTTTATCCAGTTGTGCTCCTGTGAAACTGAACTTTGTAAGTAGCAGAAGACACTGAAAATGTTACCAGCCAAGAGAGGTTTCTCTTCACGGTAAGATATAATTGCGGTATGATAAAGATGGAGCTCTTAGTAAATTAAATCTGAGCGCATAAAAGAACACTGTCCATAATCTTGTTAGAGTACTAGATTGACCACTTAACCATTAACATATTGCAAACTTATCAATGGCTAAGTAAGTTCTGAGGTGGCTACCAGCTGAAAACTTAGTACATGTGTATAAGCCATCATTGGCTGGTAGCTACCCAAGTATGCACCCTGGCCTTCATGGTGATACAAAGAAAAACAATCTTCATGTTGAAGGATTGATGTTCAGGTGCATTCAACAGCTAAGGCATACTGTGCTGGCTTCCCAGACCAGAAAAGATGTTCATGCAAGTGACAATACAACTCACTTCAGAGCCTTTTTATTGTACACAGTATACATTTGAAGTTGATCCGAAGGAGTAGTTCTCTCTGGGTTTTCTATGTTCAAGGTTGCTCAGTTGCTGTTACTGCTCTCAATTTTTCTCTCAGGATCAAGGTGGGTGCTTTCATATAAAATCTTATTTTTAATTCCTTCTCTGGCAATTCTTTCCTGGATTCTTTGCTTAGCAAAATTATACCTACAGTGGAACCTTGTAAGAAAGAAGATGAGTTAATTTCTAGTTTCTACATGACTACCCTAAGGGATTTTTAATTAATCCCATACAAATTTCCAAAATGGCTACCTGTCAGACTATAAATGCTTTAAGTTTTTTGTCACCTTAGATTAATTATCTGTTGGGACATGAATATCTCTGGGTTGGGCTCCATGAAGATAGTGGGTGTTTGTGAATTGCCATAGCATAGGGTATATTTTGATCTTAAATTTTTTCTTAGCTGAACCTTAATGGCTCACACCTTTAATCCCAGCAACACTAAGTGGGGGAGGAGCCTGGTCTACATAATGATGGTCAGCCAGGACCACAGAGGAAATTACCCCATCCCAAAGTGTCGGTGATGCTGCACACCTTTAATCCTAGCATTTGGGGTGGGGAGCAGATCTGAGTTTAAGACTAACCTAGTTCTAGGAGAGCATGGATACAGTAAACCTTGGAACAAACAGCAAACGTACCAGCATCCTAAAGTCACCAGGATAAATCCTCCTACTCCAACATCACATGATCTTCTAATTCTACCTGTCAAGAACAAGCGTGGTCAGTGATCATGCTCTATGTAGACAATGTTTCATCACAAATAATATTCAGGAGAAGTACTCACTGGTCACCAAGAAATGTCCAAGTCCAGCCACAACAGATCCTAATGAGCCATATAGTATAGATTCTCGAGCACAGGGAGTGTTCTCAACATCTAAAATTCCTAGGAGCTTAAAGGGCTAGGAAGAAAATGAAAAAGAGTTGATATGTTTGAACATAGTGCTACTTTGGAAGAAGAAATTATTTCTGAGGTTGCACTTTTGTATTTGACCTCTAGTCAAATAAAACTAGTTTTATATTCTATATTTTCCAAGGAACTATCTGTTCACACTGGCTATGGGATTGGGATCAGACTTAGCCAGGCAGCTTGCAGTAAAAAGGCTGGTGTGAATTGAAAATTGGTCTGAGCTCCAAGATTAAAACACTCAAGCAAATTGCAGCCTGTGTGAAAATTATAGCATGTGTGAAAAGAAGCTACCCTGTATTGGATCCCAAAAGCATGTCTGGATAAAATGAAGGTCGTCTTCAGTGCCATTCAATGCAGCTAGAACATTGCATAAGAAGTGGCACCTAGATGGAAGTGATGAGGGTGGGGAAAAGAACAAAGTAAAGGCGATTCAGACCCTTTAAAGATGGGGGAGAGCTGAACGTACATCACCGTGTCTTATTACTCCTTTGGCTCAAGGATCTGCTTGAAGATAAAATGTGACTTGATTCTCATTAAAAGTAAAGTTTTGCTTTCTCATTTGGCTTTCTATAGTTTTTTGCTTGTATCATGCCGAACTTTTGGGCTGCTTCATGAACACAGGCTGCAGGCTTCTTGGGAATTGCAATCACCATCAGCTCACATCAAAAAGAGCTATGGTCTAGTGGGGGAATACTGCACACTGCCACCCTGGAAATGGCTTGCTGTAGCAGAAAAATGATCGGATAGTGGGACAGTTACAGCACTCATTTGCATCCAGATAGAATGGACTACAAGGCTATATAAGTGGGATCTCTAAGTTGGCCACAAATGTACCACCTATCCTTAACAAATCCAGACCACCTCAATTGGATTCCTTCCTATAGTTATAAAACACTAATTTACAGGTCAGTGTTCTTAGCTTGGACAGCTGAGACAAAATAAACCATCAAAGTTCTCAGTGCAAAGAACACTGACTGTTTTAGCTACAGGTCACCCCTAGCACCTGCATGGTGGCCTTATCACTGTTGGGTATGTGCAGCATACACGCAAAAACACAGATGAAACCTTTTTAGAGGTTTGCCCTTTAATGTAGAACACGTGGTGTCACCAACAAAGGGTCACATGTGGCTGCTAGGCAAGTTCCCCACCTGTATTCTAAGCCCCCTTTTCCATTTATCAGTCCTGCCCCCCTGAAGGGGTGTCAGATGGCAAGACTCCTAGGTAACCCTCCACCTGATTTTCCTTTTATTGAATCCCTGCTTGGCAGGGTAGTTACACTGTCAGGCCAAAGATACAGTTAGAATTCATCTCAACGCCGGGCGTTGGTGGCGCACGCCTTTAATCCCAGCACTCGGGAGGCAGAGGCAGGTGGATCTCTGTGAGTTCGAGACCAGCCTGGACTACCAAGAGAAACCCTGTCTCGAAAAACCAAAAAAAAAATCTCAGCAATGAGTCGCAGATCTGTCTGCCCTTTCATATGGACTTATCTTCCTTGTGCTCCTTGTGGCTCAAGACTTACTGTTGAATGCATCCCACTTTCCACTTGCACACCTACCTACCCGTAGCCATTCTATGAAGTCTGTCTGTTCACTGCCTAACATGGCAGTTTCCTCGGGTCTGGCTTAGTAAACGAACTTCCACATTCTAATTGCCAAAGTAGGATGTAGGCCTCATAAAGTGCAAAGGATGTCCGTTTGTAATAGAGCCCAGTACATGCAACACTCAGAATTAGCAAATTACATTACCTGTGTGCTCGTGTGTTACGCAAGCAGAAACTGACACATAGCTAGCCCAGGCTGGCCTAGATCTCAAGCTGCCCCTGCCGCAGCCTAAATGCTGAGATTACTGGCACGTGTCACCTCGCCCAGCTCTCGGGATAAAAGTCACGACCCCTCTACTAAGTACGGTGCAGTGCTAGGTCAGCCGCCGTTTTTATTCCGATCCTGCGGGTCTGCTCTTGCCAGTTTGAATCAACTGCGAGTAGACCGCTAGAATGGCTCGTGGTCTGGGGGACAGGACCAGAAAGCCGATCGCCCTGCGCGCCCTCCCCCGCGTGCTTTACCTTCTTCTCCGGCTCGTGGGGCTCCCGCGCCGCCGCCATGGGTGCCACTCATCGCCCCGCCCAGGCCCGCGACGGAAGCAGCAGGGCTCCGCCCACCCTTCCGTGCGGCGGCCATCTTAGGGAGCGTTCCTGTGGCTGGCCCGAGCCCGCCGTGCCCCTCCTTTGTTTCGTGGGACCGGCCACAGTCTTTTTTCGACCCCGTAACTGGCCGTCAGGGATGGAACGAGACAAAGGAGACGACCTAGAGAAGCGCCATCGGCTCCGGTTTCGCAAGCCGGGTGTCTCGAGACAGAGCAACGAGAAAGTTCGCTTCCCCCCGGCCCCTCCTCCGCCTTAACCGCCATTTCCAACCGTTGTGCGCGTGTCCGTGTGGGGCGCCGGGCGCGCGCCAAGGGCGGGGCCGGGGCCGCGCGTCCGTCCGGCGCCGCTTTGTCCTCCGAGAGGGCGGGAGTCCGGGCCGTGAGGCCCGCGCACTGCCGGAAGTCGCCTAGCCCTGTTTCCGTAGGCCTCGTCCCCTACGTGTCCTTTGTCCCGGCTTTGGTGACCTTGGCAGCCGCCCGCGTCCCCGGCCTCAGCCCCTCGCGCGGCCTCCGTGAGCCTTCACGCCCCTCCCCTCCCGCCTTCAGCTGAGGACGGTTAAAAATAGCGGCGCCGCGCGCCTGGAGGAGACCCAGGACAAAATGGAGGCGGCCGCCAGCTCGGGCGCGCGTCTCCCGCCGGCGAGGAGAGGACGGGGGGGGGGGGGCGGCGGCGACTCGTTTTGGGGTTCTGTCTTGGCCCCAGCCTAAGCCTTTCTTTGTTTACCTCTAGTTCCCGAATGGCCCCTTCCGTCCCAAACGGCCCTCCCCGGACGATGTCCAGCCCGTCCCGGTGCAGTCGCCCTCCCTGAACGCGGCGTGAGCCCGGACGGTGCCGCTGGGCTCCCTGCCGTCGTCACTGCCCGGCGGGCTGCACTGACTGCCTTTCCCGTGTTGGTTAGCCGCCTTCCCACAGCCCCGGGATGCAAACGTGGTTTACAGCTCTGTGTTAGTGCGTGGTAGACGTTGTGTTTTGTTTTTCTCAAAGAAACGGAACAGCTATAAAGTGTAAAAGGCTCTATTATTACTACGGAATAGAAAAGGAACTGCTATATTGACAGTTTGGGATGCTCTACTGAAATTCTTGGCTAGCCAGGCTTTGAATTCTTGTCTGGAAGGAAATATTTAAGGTAGTAATATTCCATAAAGGAGAGAGGAATTCTTTTGAATTCCTAATTGCGGTATAAAGGACGTAACTGGAAAAGTACCGAGGAACACTGCCATTTATATGTCACTGAGAAGTTGCTAGGGTAATCTTGTGTTTTAAAAATGTTTATGGATTCGCTATATTAAAGGTTCTTAATTTATCAAAATGGCCTAAGTTCCAGTTTTCTTTAACAATTGATAGTGAAAAGTAACGTGCTCAGCTGCCAGTAATTCCTCTCCTTCCTAAGATGTGCAAAAAAAAAAAAAAAAAACCCACAAAAACAATTTCACCTCAGAGGGAATAGAACTTTTTTTTTTTTTTTTCGAGACAGGGTTTCTTTGTGGCTTTGGAGGCTGTCCTGGAACTCGCTTGGTAGTCCAGGCTGGTCTCGAACTCACAGAGATCCGCCTGCCTCTGCCTCCCGAGGGAATAGAACTTATTCTGGAGCCAAATATGCGTCTGTGGCCCAAGAACATGGATTCAAACCACAATCAACATTGTAACAGTTTTATGAAGTTTATACGACATTTTTCAAATGCATTGATGGATATCTAGCTATAGGCTTTCGATTGTATATGATGACATTCTTAGTCTTTGGAATTGGTGGAAACTGGTGTTCTGTCTGTACATTCCGAAAGGATAGTCACAAGATAGACGTTAGGCTAAACACAGAAGTGGGGATGAATGGCTATTAGGAGGCTAAGGGTAACCTACGATAATTTGGCTCCAGGCTGCAACACTCCAGTCTATTATCATAGTTGAATCAATCGGCCTTGTAGAATTTTTAACTCGGGAGGTAGGTGAATGTGGGTGTGTAGCTTTTTGTCCCTTGGGAACTACAGGAAAAGAGCAGTTTGTTGTGTTTTTCCAAATTCTTTTCCTTTTTTTTTTTTTGTTTTTGTTTTTGTTTTTCGAGACAGGGTTTCTCTGTGGCTTTGGAGGCTGTCCTGGAACTCACTTGGTAGTCCAGGCTGGTCTCGAACTCACAGAGATCCACCTGCCTCTGCCTCCCGAGTGCTGGGATTAAAGGCATGCGCCACCTACGCCCAGCTAAACTTTTCAGTTCTTTAAAATAACATTGGATGCAGGTATGTTGGCTTTCACCTGTAATCCCATCACTCAGGTTGATAGAATGATTTCTGATTGTGATTTCATTGCCAGCTACAGAGCCAGACTGTCTTCAGAAACAAATTGATAAGTAAGTCACTGGAGGCTTTGAAAGTATAGCTCAGTGGGTGAGTATTTGCTGAGCATACCCAAGGAAGGCCATGTTTTGAGTTTGATGCCTAGGGCTTTTTTTTTTTTTTTCCCAGACAGTTTCTTTCTAACAGCCCTGGCTGTCCTGGAACTAGCTCTGTAGGCCAGGGTGACCTGGAATTCACAGAGATCTGACTACCTCTGCCTCCTAAATGGTGGGATTAAAAATATGCACCTCCACTAGACCTATACCCAGGATTGTTAACACACACATACATTTTATAACCCGCCCTAACCAGCCAGAATATATAGGGTAAAAAGTAAAGCCTCCAGTCTAGTGTATGCATCTTTATGTTCATCTCTGTATGGTCTTTGTGAGTCTGCCCTGTCTACCTTCGGTCATTCTGAAAGTTTTTCATGTAATGAATGCAATTGTGCCGGATGCCGAAAGCAACTGTTTACAGAAGCAGAGAGAGAACAGCTAAATGGTCAGGCAATTAACTTTTAGCTCAGGGTCATTGTTCAGGAATTTGGGGCAGGTCCAGAGACCAGTTTACCCAGTATAGTTTTAGCACTTAAAAGTATTTTTAGGCCGGGCGTTGGTAGCGCACACCTTTAATCCCAGCACTCAGAAGGCAGAGGCAGGTGGATCTCTATTAATTAGAGATCAGCCTGGTCTACAGATCGAGTTCCAGGACAGCCTCCAAAGCTACAAAGAAACTCTGCCTACAAAAAGTATTTTAGGGATTTTCTGATGAGATGGCGTAACTGTAGTTCAGTAGCCTCCTACACTTCTGCCATGTGGGTAGTGGGAATGGAACTCGGGTCTTCAAGCGAGGCAACAAGCTGCCTCACTGTCTTACCAATTCCTACCTACTCCTCTCCCAAGAATCAACTTTTCAAAGCTGTTGTGCACTCACAGAATTGGCTGCAGCTCAGGGTAGAGCGTGTGGCTAACATGAGTGAAGTCTTGGGTTCATCTTCAGTGTCACAAACTCAGTGTCTGGGACTCAGAGACCCTCCTGCCTTCGCCTCACACACGCTGGGGTTGAAAGTGTGCTCCACCACTGCCGGGCTTTTGTTTGTTTTCTTGATCATAGCCCAGACTATTGAATGCAATATTTTATCTGTTGATAAAATGTTTTGTTCTTTTCATATTCTTTCTGCTTTGTTGGGCCTATGGATGATGCTTCCCACTGTGTTTACTGTCTGTTCAGATCAACTGCCTACTTACTGTTTTTTTTGGACACAGTTTTCAGTCTGTAGTTTTGTAGATCAGACTGGCCTTGAGCTAATAGAGACCATGGATTTAAAGGTGTATACCACCACAGAACCATCCTGTGTTCCCAGTACCTTTTGTTGAAGAGGCTGTCTTACCTCCAATGTAAAAATGAGGTCACCGGGGCCGGGGAGATGACTCAGCAGTTAAGAGCTTGTGTTGTTCTCTGACACCCTCTTCTGGTCTCCACTAACTCATAAATAAAAATAAAGGTCAGATGTCTTAAATAAAAGTAACAATCAGAGGACTGTAGCTGTGTGGGTTTATTTCTGGATCCTCTGTTCTGTTCTGTGTATGTCTGTGTTAGCATATGTCTGTGTAGCTTAGGTAATACCAACACTCAGGAGATGGAGGCAGGAGTGTTACTGAGATTGACGCTGGGCTGAGGATGAGGTAGGTGTAGGCCTACCTGGGCTGTACAGGGAGTTTGTCTTCAAAAGAAGAGAAGATGATGGAAATAAAAGGTTTTAATGTAGATTTAAGTGCGGAAGTTTGGAGGGGCATGGTTGTTAGGAAAACGGTAGTTACACACACTCAAATAGGTTTGAGCAGAGACAGTGCTTGGGAACATAATATTTAACAACCTTAACAATAGCTGTATGTGATTCTGGTGACTTTTGAAGTTACATTGTCCATATCACTTAACAGATTGAGCAAAATATTTTAGTACACTTAAATTTATCTCAGAAACTTTTCTTTAGTAAATGAGACCATTAAGTTGTTTATGAAGTGTGCACTGTATAGATTTACAGGTTGGCAAGATCAAACCTTGTCAAAGGGAGTCAAAGGAGTCCTACTGTGTCCAGGGTCACAAGGTTTGTAATCTTGCTTGTGAGATTCTCAGAAAAGCACTCACAGATGGGAGGGACAGATGGCCATACTCTCCACCTTAAGCATCCTTCATTATTCTTATTTGAAATATCTCTCAGAAAGGAATGCTGAGAAAATGTCTATGCAGTCATCTTCATAGCAACGTTTGTTAGCTATATAGAAATTCTTGGCTCTCTGCAGGCACAACTTAAACTAGGTTCTGGGATAAGGGGCTGTTTTCCTTTCCCATACCCCTTAATGCCATGGTGGTCTCATACGTGGTTCCCTGAGATGGCCTGGTGAGCTAGTGTCTGAAAAGACTATAGTTCCTTGGTAGCTGTTCGTAACTGCTGGACCTACAAAGTACTAGCTGTGAGGAGCATTAGCTGTGAGGGACCATGAAAGCAGTGTTACTTTAAGATCTGAACGCAAGCCAGGCATGGAGTTGATGTCTGCAATCCCAGCACTCAGCAGCCTGCAGGAAGGTCACCATGCATTTGAGACCAGCTTGGGCTACATAGTATGATCCTGCCACAAGCAAACAAAAGTCAGGATATTACTAATAGGGATTTTACTTGCAAATCATTTAAAAAATGTCCTAATCCAAGACCTGTGCAAAAGTACAATAATATAGTCTGTTAGAATGAAATAAGATAATTCCAAAATTAGAAACAGGAACTGTGTGTGTGTGTGTGTGTGTGTGTGTGTACAGGGGTATGACTTGGGGGTAGAGTGCAGGATGTAACACAGGTAATGCCCTGGACTGGATTCCAGAACCAAAATAAGCAGATGAATAAAGTAAATAAGCAGTAAATAAGTAAGTAGATCAATTCCAAAAGATAGACTAGCCTCTATTTCCACTAGCTGAAATGAATGACATTTTAATAATAAATAAATAAATAAAATAAGCAGATGAATAAAGTAAATAAGCAGTAAATA